CCATATCGAAGACCTTTGTTTATTTTTAAGTAGCCGTTAGGCTGCATATGGCTTGGTGTCACAACAAATTTTATGAATTATAATTCAAGCGAAAAATTTTGCACCCTTAATTTTCTATCAATGCACGAAATCACAGGTCCAGTGACCTGAATCTCTATCACTCAGCTGGGTAAACTTTCGAACCAAACACCAGCCTTCTACATTAATAGTCAGAGAGGTCATAAAGGGGTGTGCATAGTAGTTCATGAAAAATTATGCATGTCTATCGATGACATTGGAAACAGGTGTGGAAGTTTATCTCAGTTATTTGAATTTGAACAATGCTTCACAAACCTGTTTTTTGTTTGACCAAATTTGATAACATGGTCACTGGCTGCAGATATGACACCTTTATCTTCTGCTGAGAACATTATGTCTTTCCCTGCACAGTTGCATGAATTTATAAAGAGCAATGAAGAGAGAGAAAATCTGAAGTATTCCATTTCCCATCAGCCACTTATGCATTTGGTGACCTTTTTAAATGTGTTACATCTTACCGTGAAACAAACTAATTTTGCACGGAAAGCCACAGCCATGAATATACACTTAAATAAGCACAGACATTTTATGCAAGTCAAAATCTGCAACACATTTTTTCTGCTGCACAGAATTTGTGTCGATCAGAGCAAACCTGTAAACACACGGGGTGTGTCCATCACATGTGAATATAGTTTATGAAAAAATGTTGAACCAATCAATCATGCTCTTATTGAAAATTACTGTATTATATTATAATATTAAGCACACTCAATTGCCATGGTGAATTTTAATTGATGTGTACAAGTGTTAAAATCTACTCATGTGTGATTGGCTCAATAAAACTCACAACTCTCTACCCTTAAATATGTTAAACTTTTCTGTAAAAAAAAAACGGCGTGAGAAGTCGTTATCTAAAGAGTGTAAATATCAAGACTGACAGATGACTTTGAAAATACATCAGGGACTCTTTTTGCCACATGCGACGCTGACACAAGATTGTTTAATTTAAATCCTAATTAGATTTTTGTGAAATATATACAATAAATACCGGTACTACCAAGTATTATTATTCTGTTGTATTAACTGCTAGATAAAATACACAGCAAATATGTATGTGTTTTTAATTAAATAATTATTTATTCAAGCACAAGTTTAAATATTCAGAATGCTTCACTACAGCATAAACCGTGAAGCAGAATGATCAGAGATTCCAGCTGTCTTCTCTTATACAGTGAGGGAAACAAGTATTTGATCCCCTGCTGATTTTGTACGTTTGCCCACTGACAAAGAAATGATCAGTCTATAATTTTAATGGTAGGTTTATTTGAACAGTGAGAGACAGAATAACAACAAGAAAATCCAGAAAAACGCATGTCAAGAATGTTATAAATTGAGTTGCATTTTATGAGGGAAATGTATGTAATGCCACCTCTGCAAATGGAGGTGGCTTAAATTCCGTTGAATGTTGTGCTGAATCAGTTTTAAATTTGCCATCTCTAGGTGAAAGTAAAGGTGCAGCATTGCAATTTCTTCCAAATGCTGCCAAAATAGCCTTCAGGAGAGGGGACTGCAGAGAGCCTCTAAGAGTGTGTTTGGCCTACTCTTTCAATCTGGGCAGACCAACACTTTACCCCACGAAGCGTGACCTGCTGATCGTCTAACTGTGCTGTAACCCACGTATCATGTTGGGTGGACAGAGGCAAAGGAGGGGCTTAAGGCACACGCACCATTGTTGAAACTGCTGCTCTAGGAGAACTAACCAGCGATCATAGCAGCAACCCTACAGATACATAGTTTCCTTGTGCTACATACATCTTCTGATTATTTAAAATAAGAAAAATCGAGAAAATTTCACTTTTTTTGTCAGTCACATGATCCAACATTTTTGTTAGAGCCTTTGGGGTAGAGAAACTAACGTGCATTAATTTAAATTATTGTTATTTTTCATGACCAACAATGTCTCCTTAGCATGATAATAGGTTTTTCCCCTTTTTCTGGCAACAAAACAGGCGTTAAGATGTTAAAACACCAAACTGAAAACTTTTACAAGGAATCATGTCTGCATTAACCGCAATGCTTGTGGTCAGAATGCAACAAAAAAAACATACTCTGATAATATATACATTGCCCTTGAAACTGATTGGTCCACACCAGAGACAACTTTCTTTTGAGCCTCGACTCAAACGGTGTTAGACCAGAGGACGCCAAAAGGCGTACAGCCCAAAGACAATGCACTATCAGAGTAATGAGAGCTCGGGGTGAGCATCTACATCATGGGACCTCCTTTGCCAGTACCAAAATATGATAATAGGGTTTTCCCCTTTTTTTGGCAACAAAACAGGTGTTAAGATGTTAAAACACCAAACTGAAACCTTTCACGAGGAATCATTAGCATGTTCAGGCAAATTTCAGCATTGAAATACAAATTATTTGAATTTACAGTATTGTCACAAAACATTGAAATTAACGACTTTTTTTACACACAAAATGTATCCATTTCCAATTATTTGAGCACAAAAGCTCAATTATATAAAAATTATATAAAATAACTTTTCTAATGTATAGGCCACTGCATGTTTCACAAATGGTTTTAAAATTGATATTTGAAGAGCTTTATCTATTTGACTGCAAACTTTGGAGACCATACTGCAGATTTGCAAAACACAATCAATTGTGGTTTCCTAAAGAGAGATTTACCCTCCCTCCCCCCTCATTGAAATATGGAATTTCTACCCATGGGTCATTGCCACTAACAAAGATGAGCACCAACCCAATTTATCAACTAAGCAACGTAGAACATTTTCTTATACAGTGTATTACATAAACTCTGCGTGCATTTTGATCTGCCCATTGCCATCACGTTATCGCGCTATTGACGGTCATGCTCCACTTGCACAGTTAACATTTCAAATAACGCAACACATTTTTTACAAAAGGTCAAATCTCTGTAAGTTATAAATTTTTTTTAAAATACATTAGAATGCCTTTCATTTGTGACCCTGTTATCAGTGAATCCCGGTAGCTGTGGGGAAATCTCACCATTATTTTCATGCCACTTCATCCTCTTATCAGCAGTTTGTGGATTACAGGATGACGTCATCCATCAAGCGGCACAGTTCTGTTCACAACTGAAAAAAATATCCCAGGTTGTAGAAGTCACCCGGGAATCTGAGCTATCAGCATCAAGTCACTGCAGCAGAAAACATATACGGCATTGCATATTTTGTTTATTCAACATTTGTTTTTGAATTATTTCTAACGATTTAAATCGTTATTATGTACATGCAGATTTTGATTTAAAGCTTTCGTGACTGCAGGGATTCATATTCTTGGTTCTTTCGGTAAAGTCACATAGAAGGGAAACAATAAATATATTTTATTATATAATAAGAGGGTGACAAATGAAAGGCATTCTAAATATATATTATATAATAAAATATCTATTTATTATTTAATTGCTTCCCTTCTACATGACTTTACCGAAAGAACCAATAATACATGTAGATTATTGACTTAATATATCACATACGAAATCTAATTTGGCCACTGATATTCATCCCAACGTATGTGACTACGTTTTACTTGCTATATTACATTCAAGTCGATGGCTTAAAAAAATTATGTCGTAGGAATAATATTACAGTACAGGAAGTAGTTCGTAAAATTATGCAGCTGTCAAGTTGCCCATTCATGGCACTCCTCTTGTAGAGGTGCATGCATATTTCATCAACTCAGTGACTTTACTTTTGCAAATAGTGGTGGATAATGTCCACTGCTGGTTTAAATTCTTGGACCTGTGTGTGCCAATTATATTGGCACTTTGGTTTCAGCCTTTCCCCCGAGTAGTGGATTCCTTTTTGGCACTGTGACAAATCACTTACAACTATACATAATAAGCACCGGTATTCTGTTTTGCCACACTGAGACCTGAATGCGTGTATACTGTAACAGTTATATCGAGCTCAAGGGCATAGAAGTCAAACATAATTGAAAATGTTTGTTATCTTACAGGTATTACATCAAGTGTAAAATATGAGGAGTTCCACTGCTGATTGAGTGCCTCCCCATGCCATGTCACCACACGGTGGAGTGGAGTGCAGTGGTTATAACTCCGCATTATGAAAATGGTAACCTGAACTACCATGTTCATTGTGCACTTGTGGGGATGCCCGAACAGTCCTGGGTACTCACTTCAACAGCCCACTGATCTGCATGATGACGTATGGTCAAACTCCCTTGATCGACACAGCATGTCGGATACCTTTAAATACATATTTGTTCGTATAAATTAAGACTCTTGAATTGGCGATATTAGCTCAGCACTGACAACGTCTCCCAGATGCTGTTGTTGATGAATGCTCATGGTTTGCAGGTTATCAAATTACGAACATAGCTCTCAAGAATGACACATGCGAGTGTAGCGTAGCATCAGTTGTTCAATGACAGTTGCATCCAAATGTTAATGCGGTCCTTCCAATACGTTGGTTTAAAAAAAAAATAGTTCGTGAACTTCTATTATAATGAGAGTTTTCTTTTTAGAAGTTTAGTAACATTATATTCTTAAACATTCATCAAAGCATTTAACGAATGAATTAAAATTAGAAACCAGTTCGATAATAATAATTGCATTTTGGGGCAATTCATGCTTTTAGCCCTTTATTTCTTGAGCATAAGAGGCATTCACTAAATTAAGTTGCTGCATTGTGCCTGCCATGCATCACTACGTTATGGGGGGGGTGTGGGGGGGGCAGCATTTAACTGCAAGCATATTGCGTGCCCCCAATCCGACTCTCCCTAATATGCCATATTCCGATAACGTCTTCATGCAGAAGGCTGCAATCCCGTGCGGATGATTCCCCAGACCGACCTCCCCAACAACATTAACGCAGGTTACGCTCATGTGGGCGCAAAAACGATTCATTAAAATGCGCCTGCTCCGACTCGTAACGAGCGACCCGCCGCTGTCCTCGGTTGCGTTTCAGATGGTCCACGGCCGAGGAAGCTCGAGTCGGGTGGGAGCCGAAGAAGCGAAAGCCGGCGCTGCCGCTTTCAACGCGCCGCGGAGCCGGCCACCAGCCGAGCGAGGCTGGTTGCGAGTCTGGGGAAAAATCAATGGCTGTCTGCTAGTCCTGCTTCGAGGACGTCACGTCGATACCCCCATTTAACTGTCTCCAGCGCTGCCAACAATCGCTCATGGTAAGCTGGCGCGAGCCGCCGTTGCCTTGCACGTTCCTCGTCCTGCTCTAATTATTATATGCCGTGGAGAGGCTACTGAGATGATGCATTGTTTCAACCCCGTCGTGGCACCCACACTGCGATCACCCTTACTTTATCATTACTGGACTGCTCGTTGCAATCTCCAGTGGAGAGGTACTCCGGATAATTTATCATTTTTATAACATGAATTTAGGTTTCGTTTATTTAGCCTGCGTGCATCATTTTGACGTATGCTTAGTTTTAGTGCACGCGACGCTGTTGTTAATATTTACTCGGCACGTAGCATCCTCAATGTTATTTCAATAACTCTTGTGTTATGCTGCCTCCGTGTGATGCAGATAAGGCTATTATCCATGTTTCCTTTGCAGCACATCAACAAATATGTGATGGGTTTTTTTTTTAAATTGGAAAGTGAACAGTGATTAGTTAATGTGACATTATTTACTTTTTAGAACATCTCTTGCTTTATATTGGCCATTCTCAGCTTCGAGAAACTTACATCCTTGTCACTGTATCTATCAAACCAGCTCTTACTCCAGCATTTTCTAATTATTGGTACAGGTCCTTCGAATTGTTTATGTTTTAACAAAGCAGAGGGAGCTAATTTCAAAAATGTGTATGCCCGTCGTATGACTAATGGTCGTGCATGATAAAAGTTATTTCTGAAGTGAAAACATTTCACTATTGGTGCTAACATCGCCTCTTGATGATTATCAGGCTTTGGAAACTTGGGTAATGCTCATTTATTAAAGCACAGTCCTGATGTGCCTAACTATCAAGCATATGAATATGTAAGCTGAAAAATTACCTTCAGCCTTTGCTTTTAATCTTTATTTCACTTGCTGAACAGTGATAATGAAATGATCCGCTGCCGAACATGGTCAGGGACACGCGTGATATTCATTATTTGCCACAATTTGCCAATTTGTCAGTGTAAATACATACGTAATTTCTGTTATAAAAATGTTTAGTTTTATATATCTAAATTTACACTTCACAATCACTGAGGAATCACGAACAAGCTGGAAGGCAGCCAGGCGGTCAGCCAGCACCAACGATTTCACAAGTTCTGCAGTCATCTATATGTTAAGATGTTTTAATTCAATTAATGAGTGTTCGTACACATGGGAGAAAACCGGAGCACCTACAGAAAACCTATGTGTGCAAGGGGGCAACACTCATACGGAAGAATTTTGAAATATACTTTTGCAATGTGTACTTATATACTTCATTTACCTGTAATTGTTTATTTGTGGTGACTTGCTTCCCTTTCCTATACTTTACACACCTATATTTTTTTGTATTGTTTGTGGTTGTAACGTTCTGACCCTTCCCTACTGGACATCTGTGAAAACGGACTTCATAGCTCAACGGATTCCTCCAGTCTACGTAAAGATTCTTATTCTGATTCTGAGACGCGTCAGATGACAATGGTCCGCATTTTGCTGTACCGTCTACTCCTAGCGAATCTGGAAGGTGGCACCTTGATGCCTACGGGAAGAGATGTCGCAAAATTTGTGTGGGTTCCACCAACGCTCGCTGCCTCCACAGTGCCAGATTACAGGCATGTGCTACCAGTGCCCGGTTATATGTTTAGATTATCTCGGAGTCCATAATGCATACTTGGACTATCATTGAGGTTAAATGCAATCATGGGTAGTAATTATATTGTTGTAGAGGAATGTTTCAATGGAACTAAAAACTCACGTTTTAAGGGAGTCAATTCCTTTTTAAGTAGATTTGCACGTGGACACACACTCACACATTCCTTTCAAATATCAAATTTTCCCTGAAAATGTTAAATTGTAATAATATTTATCGATGGCTAGGATTACGTTTATATTCAATGTCGGTTGGCCGACCTGATTGTCAAGTTCTTTGAAGCTGTGGCACCAAACAATGCTATAATTTAACATAATCTTTGGATCTAAATCCTAAAATGCCAGATTTCTTGATGATAATCATTCCGGTGGATGTTGTCCTAAACGGTTTCCCCCAGGTGTAACAATCCATTGAATATGATAATCGGGTTTTCCCCTTTTTCATGGCAACAAAACAGGTGTTAAGATGTTAAAACAGCAAACTGAAACCTTTTACAAGGAATCATGTCTGCATTAACCACAATGCTTGTGGTCAGAATGCAAATAAAAACAATATTTGGATCTTACAGTTACATGCTAAATTCTCACATTAACATCACTAGCCCCGGCCACTTCTTTATGACCCTTGGGCTAAACCCACTTCAAACCTTTTAAAACAGTCTGCCTCAGCAGCAGACTATGCTTTCCCACCTGATGACGGACGCTTGTGTTGCGCCTGAAACGTCGTGATTTCTTTTTATTTTATACCTACGTGACTTTACCGAAAAAAACCAAAGAGTATGGATTCCTGCAGTCACGAAAGCTTCAAATCAAGATTGAAAAAACATACTCTGATATTATATGCATTGTCCTTGAAACTGATTGGTCCACACCAGAGACAGCTTTCTTTTGAGCCTCGTCTCAAACGTTGTTAGACCAGAGGACTCCAAAAGGCGTACAGCCCAAAGACAATGCACTGTCAGAGTAATGAGAGCTCGGATAAAGCATCTACATTATGGGACCTCCTTTGCCTGTACCAAAATATGATAATAGGGTTTTCCCCTTTTTTATGGGAACTAAACAGGTGTTAAGATGTCTGCATTAACGTGCTTCCTTGTAAAAGATTTTAGTTTGGTGTTTTAACATCTTAACACCTGTTTTGTTGCCAGAAAAAAAGGGGAAAAACCTATTATCATATTTTGGTACTGGCAAAAGAGGTCCCATGATGTAGGTCCTACTTTATGTTTTCCTATTTACCTTCACTTTTTTTTTATTACAGGTGGCACTAAAGATATTTGCTCAATTGTGTTGAATATGCCTTCATTCTTGAGATTATATCAGTGATTCTAGATTTGAAGCTTTTGTGACTGCAAGGATTCATACTTTTTGGTTCTTTCGGTAAAGTCACGTAGGTAAAATAACATTTAAAATAAAAGAAAACAACTAAATTAAATCACGACGTTTCGGAGGCAACACAAGCTTCCGTCTTCAGGTGGAACACTCACAGCAAGATAGCTGCATCTATCTTGCTGTGACTGTGACTGTTCCACCTGAAGACGGAAGCTTGTGTTGCCTCCGAAACGTCGTGATTTAATTTAGTTGTTTTCTTTTATTTTAAATTTAATTTTACTTACATGACTTTACCGAAAGAACCAAAGAGTATTGTATCAGTGCCTTGGAAACATCTGCCTCAAGACCACATAAATAAATACCGAATTAAAGGAGCTCAAGAATGTCCTTCCACATACCAGCTCGAATGATCTGCTGCTTACCTGCCACACAAAAAATACTAATTATCAAGGTCTCGCAGATATATAATGTGCCATCGATGGTGGCAGTGATGAGAGGCTAGAATAATTAAATTGTCTGCTTCATTCTGCTAAAGACATTTTATAATTGTGCTGAACCATGGCTGTTCTCAGGTGATAAACCATGCTCATGTATCCCCGTGACTTTAAAGGTGTTATGAATATATGTATTGTTATTTGCGCCATTATAGCATTGCAAGAGTATTGCCGAGGTGCTACGTTTCAGATGGGTATAGTCTTCCAGTATGGGGTGATGTAGGCTATGTGGTTTTATGCAATTAGGCAAATCAGGTCATCTGTGCGTAATTTGAAAATTTGGCATATTTGGACCGTGACACCAGCACATATGGCCCTCCTCTTATTTAAATGAAATCACGGTATTTAAAGGTTCGCTGTGAAGCTGATGGCCGATATATACAGTGAGGGAAAAAAGTATTTGATCCCCTGCTGATTTTGTACGTTTGCCTACTATGATTTTAATGGTAGGTTTATTTAAACAGTGAGAGACAGAATAACAACAAAAAAATCCAGAAAAACGCATGTCAAAAATGTTATAAATGATTTGCATTTTAATGAGGGAAATAAGTATTTGACCCCTCTGCAAAACATGACTTAGTGCTTGGTGACAAAACCCTTGTTGGCAATCAGGTCAGACGTTTCTTGTAGTTGGCCACCAGGTTTGTACACATCTCAGGAGGGATTTTGTCCCACTCCTCTTTGCAGATCTTCTCCAAGTCATTAAGGTTTCGAGACTGACGTTTGGCAACTCGAACCTTCAGCTCCCTCCGCAGATTTTTATCGGATAAAGGTCTGGAGACTGGCTAGGCCACTCCAGGACCTTAATGTGCTTCTTTTTGAGCCACTCCTTTGTTGCCTTGGCCGTGTGTTTTGGGTCATTGTCATGCTGGAATACCCATCCACGACCCATTTTCAATGCCCTGGATGAGGGAAGGAGGTTCTCACCCAAGATTTGACGCTACATGGCCCCGTCCATCGTCCCTTTGATGCGGTGAAGTTGTCCTGTCCCCTTAGCAGAAAAACACCCCCAAAGCATAATGTTTCCACCTCCATGTTTGACGGTGGGGATAGTGTTCTTGGGATCATAGGCAGCATTCCTCCTCCAAACACAGCGAGTTGAGTTAATGCCAAAGAGCTCCATTTTGGTCTCATCTGACCACAACACTTTCACCCAGTTGTCCTCTGAATCATTCAGATGTTCATTGGCAAACTTCAGACGGGTATGCATATGTGCTTTCTTGAGCAGGGGGACCTTGCGGGCGCTGCAGGATTTCAGTCCTTCACGGCGTAGTGTGTTACCAATTGTTTTATTGGTGACTATAGTCCCAGCTGCCTTGAGATCATTGACAAGATCCTCCCGTGTAGTTCTGGGCTGATTCCTCACCGTTCTCATGATCATTGCAACTCCACGAGGTGAGATCTTTCATGGAGCCCCAGGCCGAGGGAGATTGACAGTTCTTTTGTGTTTCTTCCATTTGCGAATAATCGCACCAACTGTTGTCACCTTCTCACCAAACTGCATGGCAGTGGTATTGTAGCCCATTCCAGCCTTGTGTAGGTCTACAATCTTGTC